CGTATTGGACATAATATGTCCAATTCATTGTTTGTCTACGATACATATCCGCCAGAAAACGGTAAAGAGAGCTTTAATTTAATAAGCTTTTTACAAAGCATTGAATCACATTCTTGATAACCCTCAAGTGGGTTCTACCCTTGTAGAATTAGGCAGTGCCAAACTCACACTCACACTCACACACTCATACACTCACTTTAAAGATATTATATTATATGTAAAAATAAAATAAAATAATGTCTCCTAAATACAATCTATCAATACTAATATTAAGGAATGCAAACTAACCAATTGTTGTATGGATTAATAAAGCTTTAATAATAATAAATAAATACAATTACAATCTAACTCCTTTCACACAATACCTAACAGAATAACAATAGGAATGTAAACGAAATGATCATAATCGATTAATTAGTCGATAAGCAATAAACTTTATAGTCTAATTTAGCAAAAAATATCTCGTTATTCTAATTTATAGAGTTGTAAAACTGAATTAAATTATTTTGTGACGATTATAAAATTAATGAAACCGGAAAATTGTCAAAGCGCTTTTTATTAGGCAGTTGCGCTTCCAGTGTTTTTCCATCCGTGACAAATGGACAAAATATAAAAAAAAACATTTAGTCTTGGTAACAATGTCTGTATATAAAGAAAGAGAAATGTCTAAATTTACATTTTCTATCAGTTCCCAAATTATAATAATTAATAATTATAATATATATAATATATGAAAGAGCTGTGTTGTCCTAGTGGCGTCATCGTGCGACTGGGGACGTTGGTTCGATCCCTGGCTGTGCACTAATGGACTTTCTATATGCGCCTTTAACAACGGTAAAGACATCGTGAGGAAACCGGCTTGCCTTAGACTGAAAATGTCGGCGTTTGTCAAGCACAGGAGGCTGATCATCTACTTGCCTATTAGATTTACAAACGACCATGAAACAGATGGAGGAATCTGATTTGTTTATGTATTATATTATATACCACTTACCTTACAGTTCAATGAAAGTAATTTGTCTTATAGCCTAAATAGGCTATGCAAAAGTGTAAGATAAGATGCTACCATATGATCTAGTTGCATAAATACCAAAGACTTTCCTAGTAAAATAACTGAAACGATACCCACCATTTTCGTTATTCTTCATAAACTTAAAATACTAAGAAGAATCCCATTTGCTATCACCATTCATAGTATCGCAGACATAACAGAGCAATTAATAAGTTCTTAGTGTTCTAAGAACTAATGGTATGACTAGCTACACGGAATTTGCAACTGAAATTAATTACGAATAATTCTGTATAAGACATAAGAGGCCTTATCAGTAAGCTAAAGACATAATGATATCATGTCAAATGGTAACCATGTAGTGATGCATCTCATTATAGAATGTCCGGGTGCCCCAAGGTGCGATTTGGAGCAACAAATCGATATAAAGGTAACTACAGAGCATTTACCCAAAATATTAAGAAGCTTCAAGTCGCAACTGGAAGATTTCTGCAGTAAGATAGTGAAATGCGTCACTCACTGCAACAAGGATGTAGCGGAGGCGAGGCGACGGGCCCCCCCACTCGCCTATGAATATAGAAGAGGAATATTATTGCTATATATATTATTTTTAATATAAATATATATATAAAATATGTGTATAAAATAAGTTCCCGCACCACAAGAGATTTTGGGAAGTTAATATATAAAATGGTTTTCATGGCATTATAGTTCATTGCATATTGATTAATAATAAGTACTATTATATTTGGAGCCTGTCCCAAATTATAATATTTAATTGATTTACGAGTCATAGGTCGCGCTAAGTCTGGCCCCTTGACTTTTTTAGGTCTGTGCCTCAGATTTCTGTGTCTGTTTCATGATCATTTGTCAATCTAATAGACAAGTAGGCGATCAGCCTTCTGTGTCTCGCACGCCATCCACTTTTTCGGTCTAAGGCAAGCTTTCCTCACGATGTTTTCCTTCACCGTTTGAGCAAATGTTAAATGTGCATATAGAAAGTCCATTGGTGCAGTCGGGGATCAAACCTACGACCTAAGGGATGAGATTCGCACGCTGAAGTCACTAGACCAACACTGCTACAATGTAATAAGAATTATTATCAAGATGCAAAACCAACATGCCGTAGATCAAAAACTGGACAGATTAATATCATATAAATATCATCAGTTTTATCATCGGATGTCGAGGCGGAATACGAAATTCTACATCACCTCCTCGTCCCTCCTTCCACAACCGAGCGTTTTAAAGGCAGTATTTGCGAACCAATTCGACTTAGCGACCTTCAAGAAACGAGCGTACCAATTCTTAAAAGGCCGACAACGCACTAGCGAGACATCTGGCATTCAGACTGTCCATGGACAGCGGTATCACTTAACATCAGGTGAGCCTCCTATCCGTTTGCCCCCTGTTCTTTATATAAATCTATCAATACAGGACCACCTATAAATGTATTCAAAATCAAATGTATGTTATGACGACGAGAACTTTTCCATTGTACCAAGTTTAAATGTTTCTAAAAACGTTTCCCGCGATAAAAGAGGAAAACCAGTGCACTCAGGCTATTAAGTGTATCAGCGAGGACAGTGGGGCACAAATAGGCAAATGGTTTCCCATTTATCGTGTAATAGTCTGGTCTCATAGTCCGTCCGGTTGGGGGTTTATTGCCGTGCGAACGAATATTTTTATTACCTTTTCCATGTGACGTTACTTATAACTTTTATTTATATTATTTATTTATTGAAAAGGAAAATTCTATAAGAGTAAGTTACTTAGTGTGAGTGCACGTTAGTCTTACGTGCTAAATGGAATAAAATAGTATACAAGAACAGAGTGTAAGACACGGTAAGTGTTGGGCAATTTCATGTTAAATATTATTTTTAGTAAATTAGGTTAATTTAAATTACTTATAAGTAATAAAGCTAGATCATTATGTGATCTTTGTGCAGAAACAAAAAAAAATTATAAAACTTGACAGATTTATAGTTGTCGTGATAATAATTAAATGTCTTCAGTTATGAAGTCCAGTGCGAAATATTCAACATTATCTTATTGTTATTATAAAACATAGAAACACAAAATCCATATGGTATATTAAATATCTTTTTGACTTCCTTACCCGTGATGAACGCATTACTGTATTTATAATCAAAAGGCAAATAATTTTTATTTTGTATGTTTAAACAACACAAACAAAATAATAACCCAAAATAAACGGACACATTAATATAGATTGATGAGCTGAAGTTATGAAATCTTCGCTCCCAGCAATTGAATGAATTTGCTCTATTGAGAAGATTAGGGCGACCGAGGTTTTCACAATTACCATTTACTGTAGGGGCCGGCTAGGATACTACGTCCCAATGACACTAATATCAAATATTTACAATTTAACTAAGGATTGAGATTAATTTTGTTATAGACGATTTTGAAATTGAATTTACACTTTTTGAATCTTTTACGTTTTTGAAATCTTAGTTTACAAAAAAAAAAAAAGAAATGAAACACTTTCCGACTACCTAAGAAGTTTTAGGTTTAATTTAATCCCATTTAGTATATATATTATGTTGAATCAACAACAAATAAATACACAACTGAAAATACAATACTAAAATGTTAACTCTTTCAATGTCAAGTAGTTATTAAGTCTTTTACAAAGCATTTCAAATAATTTTAAATGAGGCTTCAAAAATAGGTTCTATTGAGAAAAGCCTGTACTCAGTACCTTTTATATACTCGTGACGTGGGCGTAATAAGGATTGCTTTTCGAACTGTTCCCAGAAATTATAAACATTTCAAAGTTCAACGCCCAAGACAAACATTTGCCCAATCGATAACTAAAACTATGAAAACCGATCACAGAATAAATTAGTGAGCTGTCATATTTCGCGGGGACGTGTAAAGAATCCACTGTTTTGTGGAGAAATAATTTAGTCTGTCTCCCATTATCTTATTTGTATTGCATCTCATTATTGGGACAGTTAGTTTTTTGTTTGCTCGAATGGCACGTAGCTGTGTTTTTACGTTCAAAGACTAACACGACACAATGTTAGCCTAGAGAAGCTTTCAATATGGAGGAAGCCCGCGCCCGCATGTCTTAGACCCAGAATACGTGTCAAATAAATATATAGATAAATGATCTATAAAACAAATTAAAAAATATATTTCATACGCATACAGCGAGTAAATTGTTTAAAAACCTTTTTAAATTCAATCATAGAAATACTTTGAATTAATTATTTTAAAAATAGACGTGTGGTGTCCGTCGGATTAATTTGTTTGAAAGCTCTCACGTATAAGGTTTATTGTGTTACCAATTTTCGTAAATTTTTTTACTGCCTTTGGCAGTATGTGCAAAAATTTGAAACGTATCGATTATGTCTGGAAAAGCGACTTATTTATAACAGTATCAATATGGTATAGTTTTGTCATTTTCCATCCACAAACGCGAGTATTTTAATTTTCCTTGTTTAATTTGAAGTTACTAAAAACAGCCGTAGACAACAATAATATTGGGAAAAGTTTATGAAGTATTAGTTATTGAAGTATCTTTTTACGTAATTTTTCCACCTTTTCAAAGTAGATAAAATTAATGGGTGAATTTTGCGTAATGAACGTATAAATTTTCATAATAATAAAATAACCTTAAAAGGATTTAAACTCAGATTCGATTTTCAAAACATTTGACTTCAAACACTTGTGATAAATTCATATTCCGTCGTAAAATTACTGTTCGTTGATTTACAAACATGGTAGTAAGTGAGAGGTGATTAGCGACATCTTGCAAATACTGACAATTAGTAGAGAAACCGTGTCACCGTTAAACGGATTTACAGGGACATTTAAAATCTTCCTAATTATTCTCGAATGTCGTTTTCACTTATCAAGTGCAATCGATATACGTGTTTGAGGAATATAAGTCCTGTACTTAAGTTTGTCTGTAAGTATAGGCTTTTAACAATACATAAGGTTAAATATTAAAACAACTTACCGCTCGCCTGCAATTTTCTTTCTTGCGAATCATCACCGTCCATCATTGATTGTTTTTGAAAGAAACCCTGGAATTTTTTATTATGAATTTTTGCTATACGGTATTTATTACGTAATTATAGATATTTGAAATTACCTGCATTTGTAAATTGGCTAAGTCCTCTAGGTTTTTTCTCATCAACATATTTTGTTGTTCAAACTCTGAGATACTGTTCCCAGTGCTGGAAGTTGTTGATTGTTCCTGAAATAATAAATACATGTATAACCTCACCGTAGTTATAACCCCCTATATTACAACACAGGTTTCATATCCCGACAAACAATAATTGAAAACCTTTAAAAATATCAAAGGAACAGACATATTGTCCTTTGATTATTTTTCTCATGACCCCCACTGAGGGTTTTTTTATATATAGACTAGATATTAACATATTATTTTTTGTGTCCTGGAAGATATGGCTCGAAAGCGATAAGGCTGCCTTTTACTTTAATTATGTCAACTGTATTATATTCCTGTATGCAACGAAGTCTTAATAAATAAATATTTAAACAGCAACAAATTACTTATTCTCTTTCTCTTACCTGACCATCAGTATCTCTTGATACACTCAAATCTAGAGTCTGGTCTCCATCATCAGAGCCGCTGCCATCTTCCTCATGGTTCTGACTTTTGTATAATCTCATGGATTGTTGGTTTATTATTTGAAGAGCTCTTTGCCTAAATAAATAATAGACTTACAATTTTCTTAAATATCAATTTACAGATAAAATAAGTTAATTTTACAATAATATAAGTTGACACATTCGTAGCGTTATTTAATTAAAAGTTCTACATTATTATGATTAATATTAATCAAGATCTTATCTAATTATTAAAACCGGATCAGCAGTTTAAACTACTTCTACTAACTTAATAAACACATTGAATACTTACGCATAGGATACTAATCCCAAGCAATATTATAAAAACAATTACAAAAATTATTATTATATGTAATTCTATACATTAATTAGTACATTTAGATATTTCTACTAAATAAAGTTACCTTTGAGCTTCAATATCGTTATCAGGTGTCTTCGGTGGTGTTATATTGGTTGAGCTCTCATCTTCTGTGGCTGAAGAAGATCTTCTGGTACTCCTCTCTGTGCCATCACCAGAATCATGTCTACGCTTCAGACTTAGCGGCAGCTGGGTAAATGGTTTACCTAATACATAATGATTTATTAGATTTGACAGCGACTGCTTTTTCGCAGATTCAGAAATTCCAATTTCTGTGTAAGAAATAATATTTTGGATGAGATACTCACCTTGTAGTGCTTCCAAAGCGCGTATTTGTCCACTTATAGCGTCCGCTACTTCGTCAGACGACAAACCATAAATCCCCAAAAACTCCTTCATCGTATTCATTGCATAATCCCTCAGAATTCTACTAGCTGTGTCACCATTTTGCTGACCTTCACCTTCCTCAATATTCTCTCTTTCATTGCTATTAATATCCTTTCCCTCATCTTCTGAATCCCTTCGCCGTGTCGGCGAATTGGTTTTAATTAATTGTGAAATCGCAAATGGATTTTTTGCACAAAACGTTTTATTTTGTAAATTGCTAAAGTTTAAAACTGTCCGATCTCTGTCGGTATCATTGATTTGCAAGCTATGTATATATGATCTTTGAAATGTATCAACTTTCTTATCATCTAATCTATTTTCATAATTAGCATCTATGTTCTCATTTGAGTCTGTGCTAAGCCGTCTGCTCAAATCAACAGCACCAGATTTAAGCAGGCTAAAGTTTTTGACAGTAATTTTAGAGTCTTCGTGGTTATCTGTTCTGTCTCCGTTTATGGGAGTCTCGATATCACAGTTTTCTGATTCATCAGAGTAAGTAGTCGCGTTGGGCGCGCATCGTGGCTTGAAGTTCTTTCTTTTATTCCTTTTTGGCATGTTGTAGTAAGGCGACATGTCCGTGCTATGCTCTTCCTGGTTATCGTTAGTCTCTGTCCAAGAGGCTCCATGGAGGTAGATAGGTTCTTCCGGTCCTGGTTGAAGTCGCTCATGTATCGGTTCTTGATGCGCTGCCATCGCAGTAGTCATTGCTCTAACTCAATCGACCTGAGAGCGACCTGGAACAATGCACGAAGATTACAAACAATAAAATTTGAATTCAACACATTTTAGTGTGTACAATAATATGATTCATTTTGTTTCGATATAAATGGAGACAATGTTGAATTAACAATAGTCTTTGTTGGCTGAGATTAGCTGAATACTGTACAATGTTTTGAGTTCACCTTTAATGTTGTTTGTTAAATATTATTTCAATTTTGGTTAGGCTATAAAAAATCAGCTATTGTTTTAGTAACATTTTGGATTAGCAGACCAAATTCAACGCCTTTAAGCTATGAATTGACTTATGACAAAGCTTCTGATATCGATACACCTGTGCGGTGTACTACAGTATCCTTCAGGAAACAAAGACGACACTTGTTGATTCATACAATCTACTTGTATCAGAAGATTTTTATTCAGATTGGTCAGGAATTTTAATGATATTTCGACAAAACGTCACTTACCAAACAAAACTGCTCATGTATACCATTTACATTCTAATTCGCCAAATAAATATATTTTTCAGTCTTCGAACACACCCTTGACGAGTAGGGATGTAGCATCTGAAACAGAACAAATATAAAAATTAATTAATGTATAACACTGTGTAAAGTAAGTTCTAGGTTATTTATTAAAGTACACCACATATAATGCATCTACATTCTACAGTATATGATATAATCTATCTATTCTATAATACTTGACAATTATGGTGAACATTAATTAAAAAAAAAATCTTATAGATTAGGTACCCGATAGGCGCTTAAGAACTCTTTTTTAAGCTCAAGAAAAAAGCTTTTTAGGTAACATTTACATTTGAGGATTCATACTTTAAGCATGTTTTTAATTTAACAATCCGTAAACATACAAATTCCGGCTAAATTTATAAATAATTACGAAAACACAAAAAACCTATTGAAGTGACGTAATCCTGTTTGAAACTACAAAAAATACATCGATCATGTTTGTAATTAATTATAAGGTCTATATTTGAGGAAACCAGATCGTATAGCAACTATACACTAGCAATATCTGCGGCTACGCTTATTTAAAATCACAAATAAATAAATCAGTGGCGCTACAACCTTTTTATGTCTGGGCCTTAGATTTCTGTATCTATTTCATGCTCATTTTTCAATATTATAGGTGATCAGCCTCCTGTGCCTGACACACGCCGTCGACTATTTGGGTCGAAGTCTAAGAATTTTAAATGCGCACATAGAAAGAAAATCCATTGGTGCACAGGCCGGGATCGAACCTACGAATTCAGGCATGAGGGCCGCATGTTGAAGCTCCGACAATGCTCTCTTTTCTATTATCTATTCAAAATCAACTGGAGTTAATTATTTCAATTAAGTCATTTATACAAATAGTATTTTTTATTTTTTAGTAAATATAATTGTAAAAAGCTAGTGAATGCTTTTAAATTAAGCAAAACACTTAATAAATCGCACAAAGCAATCGAATAGTTTTTTGTTCGAATCGAGTTTCTCGGAAAGATTTGGGAAAAAAGACGAATTGTGTACGTTTTGTTTGGTTTGTAATATGTTATTAAAGTATGTGTTTAGGGTTTGAACACCTGGTAAATAAAAAAACGTTTTCATTTATTAACAGATATGATAATTAATTAAAGTAAGAAAACGATTTGAATTTTCAATTGTTTTTCTAGTGTAAAGTAGAAATAAACTTAATGCAAAAATACCTTTTAAAAAAATCTTAATTATTTGTTGCTCGCGTAGGTTTATATATGTTCGTTCACGTCGTAACTATATACAAACGAGATATTTAAATAATAAACAACCCATTGTTTCTGAGAAAAAATATCGACATCTAGTTACGTGACACGTTGACATTTATATATCGACAGTTAGTGATGTTTTATCGATATATGAACCGGTTGGTGATGAAATCATTAATGTAAAAGCTTCTAAGTTCTTTTGAATATAAGGCTAAGTTGTAATTATAATTTTAGTTAGTCACATTAAATTATAGAGGATTAATACATCGCAATACTTTTCACACTTATACGAAGACGTTTTGCTGCCTTGTTATTAATCACAGCCATTATCCATGTAAATCTACAGCCATGATAATAATGTTGCCTTTTTCGCGGTAACCTTGCGCATACAATATTCAATAATAACAATAAAACACAATTACATACGCGTATGTTTTATTAAGTTTTTCAATATGGCGGTTGAAGGTTAACGGAAGTGTTTTTTCATAATTTTAAAATTCGAATTTTAACTTTTTGAAAAGCGAACAAATTGTTGCTGTTTAACTTTATGCTAGTATATGATTTTAGAATCGTTGTAACATTTTTTTTTCCTTTATGGCTCTGGCACGGTTTGTGCATTAGCCAGCGTCATGTATAAGATTTTTATAATTCGCTGTTTTAATTATTTACAGTTTATGAATAATAAAAATGTAAAATTTTTAAATTGTACTTTTAAATTTTGAAATTCGAATTTTAACTTTTTAAAAACCGAACAGATTGTTGCTGTTTAATTTTGTGCTCCTATGTTTTTAGAATCAATGGGCGTGTTTGGCCGAAGTAAGTACTTACTAAACTTAGTAAGCCAGTAAGCATAAAAAAATTAAAGTCTTACAAGCTGACTGTAGCGCTTTTCGGCCAGGACAGACTTACTGGCTTATTAACATAACACAAAACACCGGTTTATGTCATATCCCGTACATAACCTCATAGACTGAATATAATTGACAGTACTAAATTTAGGAATATAATTTAATACCTGTGAATAGTTTCAAATGGATAATTTTATGAGAAATATTTTATTGGATATTTTATTGTCCGTTTTGTTTACATCAACAATAAGCAAAATGGCGTCGTATATTAAGCCATACTTACTGCGTTAGCACTTATTTTGTGTCCCGGCCGAAAATTTTGTAAGCATAGTAAGTGACTTACTAAATTTAGTAAGTACTTACTTCGGCCAAACACGCCCAATGTAACATTTTTAAAAAGCGTATTGTGAAATTCGAATTTTAAATTATTGAAAAGCGAACAAATTATTACTGTTTAACTTTCTGCTAGTAAATGTTTTAAAATCATTTTACTTCTTAAAAGTTTATTTTAATTTTTTTAATTTCGAAGTTTTTTATTTTGAAAAGCGAACACATTTTACTGTGCATACTGCATACATTTATAAATCACCAATCTTATTTAAGAACATTACATGTGCGATAAATTTTGTAAGCTAATGTTTAAAAAACAGTTAGTAACCCTTCAGTATCAAGCAAGTATTTTGTTTACATTATCACTTACATTCCGAGAAGGCTAATTTAGAGTTCTGTTACCTTATCACTTCGTGGATATGCGTAGGTTTTAATTTTAACTGATACGCAGAAACTGATGAATTGAAAAAAATCTTTGATAAGGTTTTATTGTAATATTCCTTTGTTTTTTCCTTCGTTTTTGTTTTAATTCTATACATTGTTGACCTTTTATTTTAGTTATAAATCTCCATTGCTATAAGGAGTTCTGGCAGATCACTCTACATATAATATTATTGTGTATAACCGATATATATATATATATATATATATATATATATAATATATACTTGCTATCGTATTCGCACCGTTTTAGTCAAACTGAAATATAACTAAAACTTTTAAATCTGAAATAACAACGATTTTAAAATCTTACTCGTAACAACAAGTTTTTGTTATATTAGGTTTAATTTTAAGGTATTATTAATTTTATATTTAAGCCCACCCAGTTAAATTAAATAAGAAATAAATGATTAGTCAACCGCTGAATACACAAATTTCGATATAAAATTACAATAACAAACTCGACAATTTCGATGAGAATTCCGTTCAAATATTCTAGATCGGATTTCATAAACATACCTCTTATGCGTCATCTTAAATACCTGAGTGATACAAGAGAATAATCATAATTATTTGAGATAAGCTCCATTCAGAAACTTACCAGTAAAAAAGCTGCCTAAAGACAATTGTTTCATCATCGAACGTTGAAGCAGAATACGAAATTCCACATCACCTCGACATCGAGTGTTTTTTAAGCCTACTATGTGGAACCAGCTACACACTGAAGTATTTCCGATCCAATTCGACTACTTCTTAAAAGGACGGCAACGCACTCGCGAGCTATCTGGCAATGAGGACATGGGCAGTATCGTATCGAACCGTGTGTGACTTCTAGTTAAAGCTCACTGTTTCTACAAAAGACACTACTTATATTAATTAGTTTATGGTTTGGAATAATGGCCACCTCCCCCTTAACCTTCACTCATAGACAAACCAAAGACAAGGATCTAGTTCTATAGTTTTTTACTAACCTATAATTTGAATAGCTATAGAACCAGTCAACAAGATTTCTATGGAAATACAATACCTATAGCGTTAAAAAACAACAGTAGTCTAAAAAACGAATTAAAATTCAAATAAAGAACAGATTCCATAATAATGCTTATTCATTCCATATTTAAAATCAAATTTTCAAATAAAGGTGAGGTTGATCGAGCGTGTTAGAGGAGTACGAATGTATTTATTTTGTATAAGTTAAAGAGAGATAAATAGCTTATTATGATTGACAGCTGAGAACGGTTAGCCTTGAAATATTTGAAACATTATATTATAAAGTACACTATCTTCTCCGGACACACGGACGCTGCGGTCCGCTTGATATTTTAACTTATGAATTCCAGTAAATGTTTTAATTAAATTACTTTTATAGTCCGAGTTATAACTTGAATTAATATATTTAACGCTCGTTCCATAACAATTATATGTTTTGGAATTAAACATGTTCACTTTATAATTCAACAAAAGGGGTACATTGACGCATTAAGGGTACTTATTTTATTAATCATTTCACAAATTTTTTTTAATAGTGATCAAAAAGTTTCAATAATTTTAAATATTAAAAATAACACAATAAATATCCGCTCGGCCCGTATGTCCACCCTCATTACCCGTATGTATAATGGCGGTCG